ATGTTCACAAACCACAACCTATCTTCTATTGAGACTTGGTTTAACAGTTGTCTCACTTTTGTTTTACAGCTTCCTTTTGATACAGAAACATTCCATAAATAGTTATAGAGTTTCCACTTTTCTGAGTTTACCCAACTCTTGGTCAGTAAAGCTGCTATGTAGAAATAAGAGGCCAGCAGTGCCATAATGGTTTATATGCGGACCTTGATGGCTAAAAAGCACTCTTGTCAGGTCACCGTGTAGTTTTCTGGGGCAGGGTCCTTAATTCTCTAAGGAGGTTTTGATGAACTGCAAGGGATCAAATCTGTGAAAGTGGAAATATTTCTGGTTGCTTTGTGCTACGTGGGGAGATAAGCTCTGGTAAAATGGGCCCACAGCTGGCCTGGAGACTGAGTTTTTATAAATCATCATAAACCTTAATTGTTTACAAATCTCTTTTTACTCTCACAGCCTTCTACGAGGATGATCCCATTGATGCACAACAAGTTTGCCACCAAAATTTAACCTATCTGTCTAGGGGACGAGTAACAGTCCGCTGTAACCAACTGCCCTTTGGTAGATATTTCTTTGTCTCCATTCCCAAGACTCAGTGGGAAATGTCTTTCTGTGAAGTTGAAGTTTATCCAAGTAAGTTCAATAGCATGTATCCAGTTTCCTTTTGTAAAATATCCTATTCCTCCCTATACTTGTGTAGTGTTATATCAATAATGAAGGTTAAAAAAATGTTGATTTGGTTATATTGCTGCAACAATGACATTGTTAAATTTTACATTAATTCAAAACACTGAAGAGATCTACTGTTTCATCAGTAACAGTTAGATAATGGAAATTTTCTGTTATAAAAACTGATTTCAGTGTCTGAATTTGGGAAGTACATTTAATAATTTTGAATAGACTCATTTCAAAAGATGTAAACAACTTATGGCCTCATAGAAACATCTTACATACGACAATTCATAACATAACAAAGGAAGTTACAACTTAACAACCTAACCTCACTAACAGGTCAAAAGAGCACGAAAGAAGTGTAGGGAGAAACACAAGATGTAGTCAAGTGTTTCTTCCCACTTCTTGAGTGCTCTAGCCGCTTCCAAAGTGCTTTATAACAGAGCAGAGCACAGTCAAGGCTTCTCTATT